TGTATTTTGGATGACTAGGATTTTATCTTCAAGCAAATTTAGGACACAAATGATAACTAATCTGTTTCAGAAAAGATTTTCTACTAGAAATAGATTTTTTTATTTCTATTTCTTGGATGAGTTTCTGAACAGATATATGCGTTTGACAATGACACAAAATTTCACCCTCTTACACTCTTTTCCATTCATCGACAGGCGGTGGCAAGGGTCGGCGGGCAACAAGCAAGGGGCAGCGGTCGGCCGGTGGTCGGCCGGTGGGGGGTGGCGGCAGGTGGCAATCGCATACGATGGGCGGTGGGAGGCAGGAGGCGAAAGCGAGCGAGCGGAAGTATTTTTATTTGTCTTTTTGTTCTGGAAATAGAAAAGTATAAAATGTTTACTTCTCATTTCTATTCAAAACCTATTTTTGGACTAAAAATTTGTTCCAAAAAATAAAAAAATGAAATTGCTTTACCAAACGGATTTCTATTCCAATATTTGTTCCCGAGAACAGAAAAATAAACAAACATAGAAATAGAATTATTATCATTCGCACCTTAATGGAGTCGAAAAATTTGGTGAAGGTTGATCTTGGACTAAAGACACAAAAAGGAAGAACATAGTTTGAGTTGGCAAGTTACATAAAAACATACAAAAAGGAAATTCTATTCAATTATTACACACTAAAGCAAACAAGAGGAGTGTTAGAATATTTTCTGTGAGTTTTATGAGTGAGAGATTATGAGATAAAACTGTGTGTTTTGCTTAGGATCGGGAAACACTTAAGTGATTTAATGATTCTAAACTATGTATTCTCCATATTCATAGTGGATTTATTTGGCAACTGGCTATTCTCGTGGAGTTGGTATCAATACTCACACTCGGACTGAAAAATTTACATCTCTGATTTTTTTTTATTGTTTGTCGTTGATTCTCTGGTAATATATACTTTTTTACATTAGACAGCAGCGTGGCTAGGCATGACGGATGCACACGGCTTGGTGGTGATAGTGGTTTTGCCTTTGATCTTGACTCCTGTGGTGAAGAAAGAAGATGGAAAAAATGAAGAAATAAATAAGAAGAAAGAGATTGTGCCGTGAAGAAGGAAGTAATGGGGAGAGAGAGATGGATGTGTTTGTTGATGGTATGTGTACCTAACTATCCCGTGGACAGAGCGAAAGAAGCGTGGAGATATAAGAGGACAAAGAATGATCAAACGAGAAAAAATATCTTTCTGAGTTTTCTCAATTAGGATTGGAGACGACTCCGCTGATAATGAAACTTCAGTTTGGGTCCGCCTCTTTAATTTCTTGACCTTGCATGCATTTGTTACGTCGACTGATTTGGGCTTTTCTATATAGGACAAGGCGACTCCAAGTCTCCAATCAAACAAGGATCGTCCAATCTCTTTTCAATCTTTTTATGTTGTGCATCCTCCACACATATACTCAGCAATTCTTTGCCGATTTCTCTTTGCCCAAAGACAAAAAAAAAAAAAACCTGATTAATGTTCTCAGCTCCATGAATATGCATCAAGTGTTGCCACTCATGCTTGTTCTATTGGAAGCGATGACTAGCAATGCCGTGCCGAGTAATCGGCGATGCATCGCTTCATCCAGAGGAAATTATCTCTTTTTTCCCCTTAATTTTTGGCTTTTTTTTAATTTTGGGTTTATCTTTTGATGTCGCGCCCTAGTGTGCTTGAAATATAGAAGGAAATTCCACTTTAACATTTTCCATCACCCAAATTTAGTGGAGCTAACAGAAGTCGTCCATCACACTAATTTGACAATTTTTAGTATTTGATTGTAATTTTTGAAAAATTTTAGACCTTAATTAATTGTACTTTAAGCAAATCAAGAACACCCACTAATCATGATTTTGACGGGAACCAAGCCATTCCTCTTGTTTATTTGTAAATTAAATTTGGAGGATCGACAGAATAGAATATTAACAAGACATTCCCATCACATAGCAACAATGAGACTTTTCTCTGTATACGATGTTGACCGCATGTTGCCTAGGGGAAAAAGAGAACTCATTTTTCTAATGAGAATTTCCTTGAAACGGGAAATGCATGTGTCATACGAGGAACAAATATCTATCTTCTCTGGTTGTGACGTTGCTTAGGCTTTTCAAAAAAAATTACATACTTTAAAAATAAAATTTCCAGTATTTGTAATATCAGCCGTCTATTTTGATTTTTATGTGTATTTCAATAATCAAATTGTAATTAGATTAATATTTTCCTCCAAAGCAAGCCTCCTCCTATCACCTTTCTGAATTGTTGGCTATAAGTTATGAATATCACCCGCATGTGAGTGATATCCACATCCGAAACCCACCAATTAGAAAGATAGTGAGAGGAAAACATGGCCCTTGTAATTACTTTTAAAAAATACCAAAAACTTACTTAATTGTATGATCGAATAAAAAAAAATTATATAATCTATAGGCTATATGGATCAAGACCATCTCGATCAATGACGATGTGGATCTCGTAATGAAACCCACATAATTAACCGTTGATATGGTATCAATTCACTTGCCGTATGGTCCAAGCAATTCTTTCTCCCTTGGGCCACAGACGTTCCATGACATCGGAAGCTCCACTTTCTTCACTTTGGATGGCTCTGTGTCATTGCTTGACTTGGGCTTCTCAAAAGACGACTCCAACACATATACTTCATTTTCGCACACTAAAGCCGATTCCTAGAGAGAATAAATCTGCCAAAACTGTCAAATTTAGAAACCGCAGAGAAGTTTCCTTCCTAATTAACGTGAAAGCTATCTACAGATTAATCCACCACCACCGGGTTATGTTTGCTGGACTGCGTGGACAACAGTCTCTTCATAATTTCCACCGATGGAACCCATTGCTTGGTCCCACACAAGTTGCTTTTCTTGACTTGACTTTGTGTGACGGGTTGACTTGGATATTTTAATGATAGATCAACTGATCTATTCTATTATATAAACCATCCCTTTATTGAGCCTCCACCACAATTACCAAGCTAAAACTTCCATTCTTGCACCAAACAGTGGAGAGATGATCAATTCTCTCGGCTCCATATTTGATGTACCGTGTATTTATGCTCATGTTGCATGTTTTACTACTAATCTCCAATCCACAAGAAAAGCTATCGGGGTTGCTTTTGTCTTCAATAATTTTAAAAGTATTTGTCCTTTCTAATTCTAGCTAAGAAAGTTATCCCCCATGTGATGTCCCGTCAATCATTAGGGCGACAAAACTTTAATAAAGAAAATGTAAAGGCTCTATATGATTTAAAAATTCATTAGAACTCATTGTCACTTCAAAATCTTGTGCATTATATCACATGGGATACATCTCTTGTATTTTCTTTTATATTTTTTTCATGAAAAAATCTGACCATGTAAAATTTTGAATTATGTTTGAAGTTCGTGACTTGATTTAGCAAGTATGGAGTACACATAAAGTGATTACGTGCCGACGACCGAACGGAAATGGTTCAAAGAAGATGGAGAAGCAGTACTTTTGAGTTTTGAGGCAAGCTTACTTTTTATTTTTGATATTTTCCCTCAAAACTGTACATCCATTTTTCCTTTGATCGTGACCCGGACGGCGAAGAAAGAAGATGGAAAGGAGAAGGGCAGAGGAAAAAAGGACGAAAAAGAAATTAACAAGATAGATTTGTGTATCAGAAGCTAAGGGCGCGTTTGGTAACGTTTAACCCTCTATTCTATTATATAAACCATCTCCTTGTTGAGCATCCACCACAATTACCAAGCTAGATTTTTTTCACTTCTTTGTTCCTAAAACAAAAAAGAAATAGAAAGGTCCGGTCCCTCGCCGCGGCCTCGCCCCTCCTCCTCCATCCTCCGTCGTCATAGACCATCTCAAAGACCGGTCCATTCATTCCCGACAGAATAATAAAAAAATTCATAAAAAAATTAAAAAATTAAAAAATTCCAAAATTCATAAAAATCAGAAAAATCTAAGAAAATCCATAAAAATCAGGAAAACTCAGTAAAACCCATAAAAATTTGCAAAATTCTGAAATTTAAAAAATTTAAAAAAATTCATAAAAAGTCCTGGAAAATAAAAAGAGACAGATTTTGGGAAAGTAAAAAATTTTAATAAAATTTTCCCCAAAAAATCAAAATAAAAATTCACAAAATGGTTTAGAATAAATTAAAAAATTCGAAAATTCATAAAAATTAGAAAAATTTCAGAAAAATCAGAAAAATTCTCAGAAAATCCATAAAAATCGAAAAACTCGTAAAACCCATAAAAATTTGCAAAATTCGAAATTGAAAAATTTTAAAAAATTTCATAAAAATTTTCTGAAAATAAAAAGAAAAGATTTAGGGAAAGTAAAAAATTTTAATAAATTTTACCCCAAAATATTTTTTAAAAATTCACAATCGAATTATGTCTGAGGTTCGTGAAACTTGACTTAGCAAGTATGGAGTGCATATAAAGTGATTAAGTGCGGACGACCGAACAAAGAATTTCGAGGCAAGCTAGTTTTTTACTTATTTTTTATTTTAATCTTTTGCCTCAAAGCTATACATCCATTTTTCCTTTGATCGTGACCCGGGCGGTGAAGAAAGAAGATGGAAAGAAAGAGGGAGGAGGAAAAAAAGGAAGAAGAAATTAAGAAGATGGATTTGTGTAACAGAAGCTAAAGTGATTGGGCGGGGGAGAGAGAGAGATGGATTTGTTTGTTGATGGGATGTGGTGGAGACCCAACAATCACGCGGAGACAGTGGAAGAACATTGGCGATTAAAAGTGGACAAAAGAAAGATCAGATATGAAAGGAGATCCTTTGAATTCTTTGTGGGTGTAACTTTTATAGATGCCACTGAGTTATTGTTTGTGGTTAAAGAGGGGTCTCAAATAATGGAACGAATCTCAGTTTGGGTCCACCTCTGTAATTTCTTGACTTTGCATCCATTTGTTGCGCTGACTGACTTGGGCTTCTCTATCAGACCAGCCGACTCCCCCAGTCTCCAATCAAACAAGGGTCGTCCCATCTCTTTTCAATCTTTTTCATATTGCGCCTCTCCGCCCCGCACGCCCCCCCACGCCAAGCAACCTCTTTACCAATTTCTATTTGCCCAAAGACAAACAGAGGCGTGATTAATGGCTCTCGGCTCCATGAATACCTGTCAGGTGTTGCTACTCATTCTTGCCCAATTTCTGGCGATGACTAACTATGTTGAGCCGAGTAACCAACAGTGCGTCGCTTCATCCTGTGGTGATATTCGCAATATAAGCTACCCGTTTCAATTGAAGAGTGTCCCGAAAGGATGCGGTGACTCATATCACAAGCTAGCTTGTGAAAATAATCACACTATTAGGTATATATTAGATAGCCGATTTTATGTAGTGTCTATCAATTATTCCACTAGACAAGTTAGATATGTCGACGACGGGCTGCAAAAGGATAATTGCTCGTCTCTCCCTCGTAATGCACTGTTGGGGAATAGGCTCAATAGCACTTATTATAACCAAAGTACATTGGTCATTGTGAACTGCTCAAAGCCAATTAGTTCTCCATTTTACATCGCTACAAGTCCATGCATTAAGGGGTCGTATTCTTCCAACACGTCATCAAATTGGAGCTTGTATGCTTTACTCAATCCAAAAGCATCGGATCTTAGGGATTTTTGCAACATTAGCAGGTGGACATGGACAGATTATTTTGGGGTTGGAGAACACATTAACAGTAGCTTCTACAACTACGAGCTAATCCATAGCATCATGGCCAATGGATTTGTTGGCCGCTACCATGTTCATGTTCCAGAGAAGAAAACTTTCTTTTGCTACTTTGATTTGTATGGCTCCTTTCATTTCTATAACCACTTTTATTCACGTCGCTTATTCAATAGCTACACCGGAGGTTAGGTTTGCGGATCCAACTACTACGATGGCGGTAAGTACCCATCGGCAATGAACTTTCACTGTAATTTTGCACGATTCAGTACTCTTTCACTTGCTACGTTCTCTTCAAAACTGGAAAATGAAAGGAATATCTCATATCCAAGAAAATTATGACAAAATAGACATGATAGTGTACGTCAATGTAAATGTGTCTAGATTATAAATTCTTTCCACAAAAGGGCTAAATCTCCCACTGTAAAAAAAAAAAAAAGATTCTTGCGTGACCAACCACATGACTAGTTTTTTGTTGGCATAGAATTTACATTTTTCTATTTTCTTAATTAGTTCTTTAATTAGTCACTCTACTAATAATCCAAGAGACACTTTTGTGGTCATGTCTCAATAGGAGGAACAAAATTATTCATTAAAAATGAAAAGCACTATTTCTCTAGATTTGTTGACCGCTAACAAAGCGAAAGGAGTTTCTTGTATTGTCTATCATCTACGTAAAAAACAAAACTTATTATTTCCAGTTATTTGCAAATGCATGCATCCCACTTCTCGTATTTTTTCCGACAAGATTCAACTTGTACAGAGTAGCTTGTTACTACTCTGTTTCCTCGTGACTTCTGCTTCACAAACTTCTTTTCCTTGAATTCCTTTTCACACCATTCATTCCTTCCACAGGTGTCCTCGATGATATTGCATTTTGGGCTACTTGGGATTTTACAATATTATTAGGTAAGCCGCAATTATTTATTCTTACAATAATTATTAAAAAATATATATATTCTAACCTATCAAAATTTTCTTCAGTGCTTTTTTGTGTAGCAAAGTTCGTAATCGGGATGCCATTTGTCACGATATTTCTAATATACAAGTATAGAAGAAGGCACTTGGCAAATGATAAGAACATCGAAGAATTTTTGCAAGCTCATAACAACTTTTTGCCCATAAGGTACTCTTACTCGAATATTAAGAAGATCACCAGAAATTTTAAGCACAAACTAGGTGAAGGGGGATTTGGTTCCGTATACAAAGGAACGCTCAGAAGTGGCAATGAAGTGGCCATCAAGATTTTGAAGAAGTCCAAGGCCCATGGCCAAGATTTTATTAGTGAAGTGGCTACCATTGGAAGAATTCACCATGTTAATGTAGTGCAACTCATCGGTTTTTGCTTTGAAGGCTCGAAACAAGCTCTCGTGTATGATTTCATGTCAAATGGATCTTTAGATAAGCACATTTTCACTGAGGAAGGTGATAAGTTTCTTGATTACAAGAAAATATATGAGATCGCCCTTGGAGTGGCGAAGGGGATTGAATATTTACATCGGGGTTGTGACATGCAAATACTACACTTTGATATTAAACCTCACAACATTCTTTTAGACAAGAATTTCACTCCGAAAGTTTCTGATTTCGGACTCGCGAAACTTTATCCTATTGATCATAGCATAGTCTCAGTGACTGCTGCAAGAGGAACCTTGGGATATATGGCACCAGAGTTGTTCTACAAAAACATTGGCGGTGTATCTTATAAAGCGGACGTCTATAGCTTCGGGATGTTGCTTATGGAAATGGCAGGTAGAAGGAAAAATGTAAATGCGAAAGCGGAACACTCAAGCCAAATTTATTTTCCACTGTGGGTATACGATCAAGTCAATGAAGGAGAAAGTGTTGAAATGGAAGAAGTTGTAGAAGAGGAAAGGATTGTGACAAAAAAGATGATAATAGTTGCACTTTGGTGTATACAGTTAATTCCTGACCATCGGCCCCCAATGAACAAAGTCTTAGAAATGCTTGAAGGAGATATTGGTAATATTCAAATGCCTCCAAAACCATTTATTTACCCACCAGATGAGACAGTTGACGATGACAAAGCCGAGATGGAATTAGAAACATTCTCAACTTTATCAAGCGCTCCCATAATTTCAGCTAGTTTTCCATTTGGAGATAGCAATGATGTTTAGAGCACCATGCACAATTTGATTGGAAAAGCTTTGTTCCCCACAATATAGTATTATGTTGGGAGGGAGTAGAGCTCGTTTAGCTTGCCAGTGATTACATTTTGTCTTCTTCTAGCTCCTAGGTTACTGTTGTATTGTTGTACTTCATATATAGTTTCACTTTCTTGCATCCTCCTTCAAGAGGTTACAGATATTGGTTAGAAAGCAAATACAAAAACGGTGGGGAAAGGGACAGACATTGAGGATTTTCCTCCCTCATTACGTAATGTAGGGTAATTCCAATTAAAAAGCTAATTATAATACACGATCTTGCTACTTAATTACTACAGGCATAATCAACGACTTATGAATTTATTTTCAGAGAAAATATCCATATATACGTTTTACAAAGTAGACACATATGTCTATGCGAGAAACAACTTTTATTAAAGTGGAAAGGAAGAAGGTCCTAGATGAAACAATTCTATGAAGTCTATATTGGAAGGAACTCATATTCCGTTTTAACATGAAATTATTGACGAGTAATTCTACGAAATTTTCTTTGTTTCTTCTTATATTAGGCCATGCTTTATTAGTTTAATTTGATGAACTTTTTCATCTCTCCTGTCTGATTAACAAAAACTTTATTTGATTTAGAATTTACGTGAATTACTTTTAACTTCACTATAATTTGATATACCATCTTGTTCATTAAGAAAACCATGTCCATGGGTGGTCCATATTGTAACCCTTCTTAAGCTTGGACCCCAGATGGGACGCATGTGTAGGTTCATATAATAACCTTCTTTGGGAAGCGTTCTCTACATGTTCGTCTTATGTGAATTCTAACTAATCCAGTTAATCATCCCTTAACCAAACCACTGGTTTTATGTAGAATATTCACCAAAGAAGACTGCGATACATGCTACCTTACATATACTTGCGAGTTTCCTCTTTGACTCCAGTATGAATCCCTCTTCTTTCCTTGCATGACACGTAGTCCGCAAGTGGTTTTTATTTGTGGATATTGCATTTGGATTCACCGAAATTCAACTTTTATTCCGCAATCGCAACAAATTTTTCTTTTCTTGCAATAGATTTACTTTGATCGGAAATTGATCAAATTTTTTGAGAAAATATTGAAGGGGCTATCATATGGTCTTCAAGGTTGCGTTAGCTCTAATTTAAAATTTCAAAAGCTATTGAGACAATTGCGGTGCAAGTTCTAAAACTTGTTATTGTAATACATTTTAATTTTACAACTTCCATTTCGTGAATTTGAGTCTTGAAACTTGCAACTTTAATGTACTTGTATCCTTCATCAATTTCGTCAGTTTTAAGAGGCTAAAATGCCACATCGTTTTTTGTTTTATTTCTTCAATCATTCGTAACTGTTAATTAAAAAAAAAGTACATCTTAAATTTACATCTACTATAACCTAACAGAGCTATTGGGAGGATTGAATATTAAACCATGCCCAAATTTAATTTTTAATACTAATTTTATTTAAATTAAATATAAAAATAAGCAAATTTAAAAAAAAAATAAAAAAAAAGGGAGGAGGACCGGCGGGGAGGGAGGGCTTGCCCTCCCTGCCACCATTGCCACTCCACCATCGCCAGGAGGGGCCGGCGAGGGTGGGGGACGGCAGGCGAGGGCCTACGAGCCCTCGTCCAGATTCGCGGCCCTCTCCCAGCTCGGGCGAGGGTCAAACCTAGTCGAGCGTCCTCGGCCAAGTCTGGGTGAGGGCCGGCGACCCTCGCTTGATCTACGGGAGGGCCGACAACCCTCGCCCAGATCTAGGTGAGGGCCTGCAGGCCTTAGCCTGCCGTCCAACGACCCCCACTTGCCGTCCCCCTTGTCTCGCCTGCCCCTCCCGACGATGGTGGGGCGGCGGCGGGGAGGGCAAGCCCTCCCTCCCCGCCTGTCCTCCTCCTCCTCCAACTTTTTTTTTATTATTTAAATTTGGCTTATTTTGTAAATATAATTTAAATAAATTTAATATTAAAATAATAATAATAAAGCCACATCATCGCCATGTAGGATAAAATAATAAAAAAAGCCACGTCAACATTTTTCGTTAGTCAAATTGGATGGTGTTAACTTTAGGACTCGATTAAACTAATTTGACAAGTTTTATGAATTGATTGCACTTTTTGCAAATTTTAGAACTCAATTACACTTTCGTGATAAGTTTTAGGACTTCTAGTGAACATATCCCTTTAAGGAAAATGGGCTCTAGTGATGTATGGATAGAATGGATAAAATGTTGTGTGTGTGCTCGTGTTCTGTTTTTTTTTATAGCATCAAATTATGTGGAACAGTTGGAAGTATAGCCAGATCTAGAGGTATTAGACGCGATCGCTACCCCTTTTTCTATTCATTTTAGTGGCTGATGTTTTGTTAAAATGCTGTACAAGAGAGCCACTGCAGGAACAAGGTCCTGTGCTTACCCCTCTCCTTTTTGCTGACTAAGCCCTTTTTTTCATGGAAGCAACTCCTAGTAACCGCATGTTTTTGAAGAATTGACTTGAAAAGTTTTGGTAGAGCCTCAGGACAATTGTTGTATGTTGCAACACTTCCGATGACAAGGTTGGGGATATTTTGACAGGTTTAGAGGCATTACCCATAAGACGATCGAAATGGTTCATCAATTATGAGCGCGAGCTCTCCCAAATTCTTACCTCGTGCAATATTGGGATATTCAATTTTATATTTGATTAACCATATAAGAATTTTAAATGAGAAGTCAACATTAACCTATTAAGGTCGGCTAGAAACCAAGTGAGGTATAAGAGATCTAAGATCGTGAACTTGATTACACTAGTTATCTAACTAGTACCATTTCGATACCTAAACCTGATTATTTTGTCAACTAAGGTGTTTAGGCAGTCTTTTTACAAAGTTATGAATCCTAAGGTTCTTGTCCACTAAGTGTCCACGCAAGTGTTCTTGTAAGGTTTATTATGACCCTAAACTAACCCTAACCATACTAAAAAGAAAGAATAACGAACGTTTTAAAAGTGCGAGAATTAAACGCCCAAGAATTAAAAACATCTAAGTAAAGGTTCGGGAAATGAAAAATCGATACTCGTCGGGCGAAGAATATACATGGCCATGTTATAAGCCCCAGGACATGATTCACATGAGGTAAATTCAAATCAAGTCACATCTTCTCCTAAAGAATTAAGACCAAAGCTATGTCACAGTAATTACTAAAACCCCTAAATTAAAAAGTTATGCTAACTAAGCTAATACTAAACTAAATCTAGTACTAAAGTCACACAACCAAATTAAGACCTATCTCTAAGCTATTTTCTAATTTTTTTAGTATTTTAATATTTTTATTATTATTCCGAAAATAGGGACTTAGGGTCGGCCGCTGGACCCCGCCCGCCTGTGAGGACTAGATCTGGTTCAAAGGGTCTGGGACACAAAGCAAAGATTAGGCCCGAACTTTCTAAGGCCCAAACAAGCCAATTAAAAATTCAAATTAGGCCCGAACTTTCTAAGGCCCAATCAAACATAAAGCCCGAACAGTTCACTATGCCTGAACGAGCCCAATTTGCTTTTGTCTTTTCGGCCATTTCACCGACACTTCACCGTCGTCTTCTTCAGCCACGCTGGACCTTCGCCTCCGACCCCCATCTACGGTCACCGCCATTAATCCCCACTTCTACCCCCTTACTAACAAAGACCGTCGCCGGTCATCGTCCACCCGGAACCAGCATCGTTCACCATTTTCGGCCACTGGCCATCACATATTCGCAATCACAGAACGGCAAAAGCTATGGGGGGCATGAGTTGGAGAAACAAACCGACATGGATATCTCGGTAGGACTGACACTCCTGTCGTTTTCTCACCGGTAATCACCACGAGAACAATCCACAGAAAAAAAAAACAAGAAAATAGGTTGTTCAGTTTTTATTCGGCCATAATGAAATATAGCAGAAATTGAGCTCAAAAGTTAATTAGAAACATCCATCGCACGAGACATACTGAAACCCAGTCAGATTAATCGAAAATTCGTTGACAAATTTATGCAAATCTGGTGTCGGCATTTCATCAAACGCATGGCGTGCGTCTCAGAGGATTGACCCTACATGCCTTTCTAAGTAACGTTTCATCGAAATTTCATCTTCAACAACGAAAATTACTTTAATCCCAGATAATTTCCAGGCAAACAGTGAGGTCAATATCAGTCTCTATTTTCGCTTACCAAGTGACCGAGACATGAAATCTAAATCTCACCTGGAAGATGTGTTTCCCGGTCAAGAATCGCGGTCGAACCAACAACGATAGAAAGCTCTGGAGGCGTCTCCGGTGAGTACGAGCGCAAGTGACAGAGACTTCGCCGAGGACGAGACAATTCAAAATTTTCGGCGAAAGAGCAGAGCGAAACAGGGCAGGTCCGACGCGACCGTGAAGTAGAGATTGGTGACATCGGACGTCGTCTCGAGACGACTGCGAGGACTCCAAGATCAGAAAAGTCTTCCAAACGAGGGGCTTTTCAGGTTCACGTCTCGGCGGTGTGAACGGATCCGCTCTTCATCCTTTACTCTATGGCTTGCAACTCTAATAATGACCGACAATGGCGACCAGCCGCCTCTACTTGCAGAACTAAGGACGATTCAAGAAAAAAAAATCCACGATTCCGAATGGTAGGATTCAACTTTTTTCTTTCTTCTTTTTTCCGTTTTGTCTTGCGACCTCCCCCCTCCTCCAAATGCTTTTCCTCGAGCGAGTATACTCCTGCCTCCAGCTCAGCAGGTTCTCTGGTTTTTGTTCTCGACTTGAATGAGATTTTTCGTTTCTGAGCTCGATTAATTTCTCCTCCGAAAGGACTAAAACCGAATTAATGTTCCTGGTACCATCATCTTAATAATATTATTTATTGCTTTCTTTTTTTTTTTTCCTTTCTTTTTGTCGATTAATTTCTCCTCCGAAATGGAGCTTCAGTCGGAATCCTGATCCTGCGGAGCCCCGTTTTGGCATCCCAAATTTACTCTATGGGGGTGCTTCTTTCTCCGCTGGGAGTGGTGCGAGGACGTTAATAGCTTAATCACTAGAAGTTTGTCATGGAGAGTCACGGAGGATCCAGAGGATCTGTGCGTGCAAATGCTGAGAGATATCTACTTCCCCGAAGGCGAATTTATGAAGGCTAAGAAGGGGTAGAGAGAGCTTCCTGGGGATGGCTAAGCATTCTTAAAAGGGTAGTCAAAGCTGGAGGTCGGTGGGAAGTAGGAAATGGCGAGTGTTCGAAGGCGTGGCAAGTTTCATGGGTACCAGGGACTAAACGATTCAAGGCTGCATCCTGTTGATATGGCACTAGTTAATCGATTGATGTGGAGGGAAGAGACAGGGATCTGGGGCCTATTCAGAGCAATTTACCTGATGAGGAGTGGGCTGTTGCTACCTGGCCGGGGTTCTGGTCCGATTCAGCTGAGTAAACCAGTCCCTCTTCCACCTCTAGCCTAAGATTTAAATTAAAAGGACTTGGGGCCTCTCAATTTAGAAATGTAAATTATTGATGAATTTGCCTGAACTTATTGTTTAGTCGTACCTCTCATTATTTCTTTTACATATCATAAACCAAAGTTTTGTAACATTTTTAAATATGAAATCTGCTCATCGTTGAGATGTATGTGCAAGTGATATTAGAATAGTCCCACATTGAAAAAATGGTGTGGTATGAAATAGTTAATATATTCTAGTTGACTTAAATTTTTCAGTAAATGTAAGTTCAACAGAATGCATTGATAGTATTGGGTTTCTGCTACTCCTTTCCAACAAATGATATAAGAGCCGGTTGTCAGGTGCTCTTTGTATCAAACACACGATACTATGCTTGGTTGTCAGGTGCTCTTTCTACGGAATGGGCGGTACAAGCTCACTGAACTTTTGTTCCATTCACTTGATGCAATGATCTTCAATTTACTTTCGATTGATGCACTATAATTGCAATCTAACCAATTTTCTTGAGAGATGTCGATAGGACCTCCACAATACACATGGCGTGGCTTCAAGTCTAGTTTCACGTGATGTCATATCAAGAAGGTTTCATGGGGCATTTGATCAGCAAATTGGTCGAATTCTGTTTGATGGACATTTATTTGATAGGAAATCAAATAGCAATAAATTCGTAAATGGATAGCAAATGATATGCTGTAAGAGGAACCTTATGAGATATGGCACCTGAGCTATTTTATAAGTACATTGGTAGCCAATGTTTATAGTTTTGAAACGCTGTTGATGAAAATGGCTAGTAGGAGGAGAAATCTAAATTCAAATGCAGAGCGTTCGAGTCAAATTTATTTTTCTCTATGGGTTCATGATGAACTCAACATAGAAAAGGAAGTTGAAATGATGGATGTCGTAGAAGAGGATAGAGAGACAACAGGAAGATGATAATTGTTACTCTTTCGTGTATACAATTGGACCTTAATGATCGACCGCAATGAGCGGAAGCGGATAAAGTACAATTGCCACCAAAGCCGCTTTTGTGTCCAATAGAGACACCAATTGATGATGTTGAGACTCAAATATATCTAAATTCATTCTCATCTTCATCAAGTTCCTCGATGATTCATGACTGTTATCTATTGGAGTATTATAACGAGCTTACGGAATCATTTAGTGCAGGATCTTTCCTCCTGTAGAAATGAAATGCAAAATATAAGTAGTAAAATTGCAGCATCATCATTAACTACATAATCCCTTAGACTTTTACATTATTTTCGTAGTAGTACTAGTGCTTTCTAGTAGAATTCCTCATGGCTATGTTATTCAAAGGCATAGATGTAATGTTTTCAAACTCCGAGGGCACTCTTACTCCGTTAAAATCAAATAATACCAAACTCCGCCTACATTCATTCGTTGTCGTCACTTTCATCGACGTGTAGCTTCCTGCATTTACCCTAGTTCTGCAAAACTCCAAGCATGGAACTGTGGAATGGCATGCCACTTCTGACTTTCAATCCCTTGACCCGACTTTGAGTCGTGCTTTTACAATGGCTGATTTCTCAATTGTCTGAAACAACATATCTATTTAAATGCATGGTCCAGTCTTTACGGTACTTAGAATTTCAGTCGTCTATTTTGATTCTTATGTGTATTTCAATACTTCACGCATATTTTCAATCACTCTTCTCGAAGGTGGGTTACAAGTTGCGGAACCACGCGTTAAAGCAACTTAATAAAACGTGAGTGATATCTATCTCTGAAGTCTACCAATCAGAAAGATTGTGAGAGGAAAACATGAGCCTTGTAATTACTCTTGAAATATTATGATATATATATATATATCATATAGACTAAGATTATCTCAATCAATGACGATGTGGACCTCACAGTGGAACCCACGTAATTAATGGTTGATATTGATCCACACGTTGTACAGTCCATGCAATTGCTTCTCCTCCGAGGCACAGACGTTCCATTGCATAGGAGGCTCCACTTTCTGCACTTTGGACGGCTCTGTGTCCTTGCTTGACTTGGGCTTCTCAAAAGACGACTCCAACACAGATACTTCATTTTTCCATACTAACGCTGATTCCTTGAGAGAATCAATTTATCAAAATTGTCAAATTTTGAGACTGCAGAGAAGTTTCCTTCCTAATTAATGTGAAAGCTATCCATATATTAGTCCACACGATTTATACTTTTTTACTTGACTTTGTGTTACTTGTTGACTTGGACATTTCAATGACAGATGACCCCCAAATGATCTTTTCGATCATATATAATCCCTCCCTTTGTTGAGCCTCCTCCACAATTTCTAAGCTAAAACTTCCTTTCTCGCATAGAGCAGCGGAGAGATGATTAATTATCTCGGCTACCTATTTATGTGCCGTGTATTTTTGCTCATATTACACGTGCTACTACTGGGGACGAGTTGCAGTGCGAAGAAGAATCACTTATGCGCTGCTTCATCTTGTGGCGAGGTCCGTAACATAAGCTATCCCTTCCGATTGAAAGGTGATCCAAAAGGCTGTGGCCACTCTAAGTATGAGCTAATTTGTGAAAATAACCGCACTGTTCTATATTTGCAAGACGGTAGATATTATGTGAAGTCGATCCATTACGATTTCTATCTTGACAAAGATAACTTCCATGGTCGCACAACAGTAGTTGACGATGGTCTGCAAGAAGGTAATTGCTCGTCCCTCCCTCGTTACTCATTGGCATGGTCCAACATCAGTAGAAATTCTCCCTACTATCCTTATTTCGGAGGCTTTGTGGTATTCGTGAAGTGCTCACTGCCCATTCCTTCTACTTGGTATGTTGATACCAAACCGTGCATCGAGGGAGCATACCCTGCCGGCACGCCTCCAAATTTTCCCCAAACGAAGGTGTACTCATACGCTAATTATGGGTTTAATGGATTAAGAGCATCAGACATCAAGGATTCTTGCACTATAACCATGATGGCATTGGCATGGGACTATTTCTGGGGGTGGGAAAGGGATCAGTATGATCGTGCGAGCTTATCATCATACAAGGACCTCCACAGCGTGATGGCCGCGGGATTCAATATCTCCTATGGAAAAAACAAATACTCTGGGAGTGGAGAACCTCGCCTTTGCTTCTTGGGTTTCGGATACCGTACGGAGAGGTGCAGTCATTATAACTCCAGTAAGCGACTTTCCCTGAAGCTTTTCTTTCTTTCTTTGTTTCTTCTTCCTCCTCCTCCTTTTCTTAAATGCTAGCTCTACTATTACTAGATCTTACCAAAATTTAGTCATCGAGTGACGTGGCACGTTTCAATTGAATATGCAATATATGAGATCCACACATTGCGTCAATAATTCCTTTACATACCCAATAAGAAAAATTGCCACATCACTTAACTAAAATATTTTAATGGGTTTTTTGAATAGATTCAGCATGCGTTGCTCTTTTTTATTTTACAAACCAAGGAGCTTTTCTGGATTTGATTCCTTTATATTTGATTGGGAAAAATGTTTAATTTGATAGTAGCTCGTATCACTTACGTGGTTGTAATTATTATGCGGGAGAGTAAATTGGGTATATATTGAATGGTGTTTGTAATCAGAATTACAAACGAGTAATTGGTGGATTTAATCATTTGGTGGGAAAATTAGCAAAAAAATTATAAACTTATTGCACTTTTACTAATTCAGTCATAAACCGTTTAATTGTGCCAATTGAGTCCTAAACCTTTTCACGTTTTACCAATTAAATCCATACAGCGAATTTTGGTCGAAAATCGTTAACATGGACATCAGCCGTCCTACGCGATATGGCTAGCGTTGAAGTGGAGACTTTTTGTAAAAAAATTTCAAAAATTTTAGTAATTTTTTTTTCCTTTTTTTTTTCTTTTTTTACTGTGGCCGATGAGGGTTGTTGGGCCCTTCCCGGCCGCTGGTGAGAGTCGCAGCCCTCACCCACAACCGTGATGGCCTCGCCTAGACCATCGCGGCAGCGAGCAAGGCTGGCCTCACTCGCAAGGTAAAGAAGGAATAGAGAAGAAAAAAGGAAAGAGCAAAGAAAAAATTTAAATAATTCAAAAAATAAATAACATATGATTAAAATTTATCCAAGTCATTCACGTTACCGATTTCCGATCAAAATTGGTCGGATGGACTCAATTAGCAAAACGTAAAAAGGTTTAGGACTGAATTAATATAATTAAAAGATTTAGGATTGAATAAGTAAAAGTACAATAGGTTTAGAACTTTTTTGGTAATTCTTCAAACATCTAGGACAACAACAGCGGAACCGTCTTTCTTCGATAAGAAAGATCATGCTATGATAACCTAATTTCCTAGGTGAATGGAATAAAGTTGGATCTAGGCGCTATATAAGAGAGCAAAAATGAATCACTCTTCTTTATTCTATTCTTCTCCACTTGCTACTTTCAATTAAGAAAAGTCTATCTTTGCACTTTGCAGTGACTGTATGAATTTATCTTTGACTTGGGTTAACGTGAATTATTTTTATATTTGGACGGCTAAAATGATAAGTTTAGGTCTCCATTGATTACTCGTTAATGCTTATTAATCATTTTCAGTCATCACGAACAAATTCTCTTGATTTCTACAGATAATTCTATGGTGGGGCCACTCGCACTCTTTGCACTTCCTTATCTCCCCTTTTTCTTAGGTATGGTTAGTCCTTTTCACCTCACAACTATAAAGATCTTAAGCAGCAGCCTGACCAAAAAAGAAGAAATTGCTATATGTAATTAGAATCATTATGCTACGCTAATCTGTGGACAAATTTCTCCACAGCCCACTTCCTCGCCGCAAAATTCATACTCGGAGCTCCATGTGTGTTGATATTTTTAGTCTATAAGTGGATGAGAAGGCACCGAGCAACGGACGAAAACATCGAAGAATTCCTACGAGCTCATAACAACTTTTTGCCTATAAGGTACTCTTACTCGAACATCAAGAAAATCACAAAAAATTTCAAACACAAATTAGGTGAAGGAGGATATGGCTCTGTGTACAAAGGAATACTTAGAAGTGGTAATGAAGTTGCTGTTAAGATTTTGAACAAACCAAAATCTAATGGCCAAGATTTTATAAGCGAAGTGGCTACTATTGGAAGGATCCACCATGTTAACGTGGTGGGACTTGTTGGTTTTTGCTTTGACGACTCTAAGCAAGCTCTCGTGTACGATTTCATGTCAAATGGATCTTTGGACAAGCACATTTTCTCTAAAGATGGCAATGATTCTCTTGATTATAAGAAAATATATGAGATCTCTCTTGGTGTGGCTAGGGGGATAGAATATTTACATCGGGGATGCGACGTGCAAATTCTACACTTTGACATCAAGCCTCACAATATTCTTCTAGATCAAAATTTCACCCCGAAAGTTTCTGACTTCGGGCTTGCAAGACTTTTTCCCGCGAACCATGACATAGTGTCGTTGACTGCTGCAAGAGGAACCTTGGGATATATGGCTCCTGAGCTATTCTACAAGGACATTGGCGGTGTCTCGTATAAAGCTGATGTTTATAGTTTCGGGATGTTACTGATGGAAATGGCAGGTAGGAGGAAAAATGTAAAGGCAAATGTTGAGCGTTCGAGTCAAATTTATTTCCCTTTGTGGGTCTATGATCAACTTAGCAAAGAAAACGAGGTTGAAATGGAAGAAGTAGAAGGGGAAAGGGAGATAACCAGGAAGATGGTAGTAGTTGCCCTTTGGTGTATACAGTTAATCCCTAATGATCGACCATCAATGAGCAGAGTCCTCAACATGCTTGAAGGAGATATTGATCAACTGCGACTGCCTCCAAAACCGCTTCTGTATCCATCCGAGAAGCCAGTTGATGATATGGACACTGAAATAGAACTCGAATCATTCTCAACCACATCAAGTGCTCCAACAATTTATGAAGGAGATCAATTTCAAAATAGCAATGAAATTACGGAGTCATGCATTGTATGATTTTCTTTTCCTACATGTTTGAACGTATGCAAAATAAACGTAGTTCCATTAGAAGCATAATTGACCATGTAATGTGTGAACCTATATGATTTTAGTGTTTGTTAGATCTTGTGTTTTGCAGAAGAATTGCCCCCTAGCTATCTGTTTACATTTCTTGTTTCTTGAGTACTCCTGATATGATAGACCAAGCTCGACTTGTGTGGACCAATGAGTCTCTCCCTCTCTCTCTCTCTCTCTCTCTCTCTCTCCTCTCCTCTCCACCATTCAACATCAAGCTCTCCCCTTCCCGCCAAAACCTCTCACCCTCGCTGCTCGATCGCCACCTGATCACCCACTTGAGGTCGACCACTTCCACGGAGCAATCTCCCACCTCGACCTCATGTCTTGTGATGGGTCCCATCCCGACCTCCTCACCTTCTCTCTCCTCCTCATGTCCTGCATTCGCTGCTGAAGGTTCACAGTCAGGAGGCGCGTCCATTGGGAGCTCACTCCGTCCAAGCTCGAGCCCAACTTTGTAATTCTCAACTCGCTCATCAGTCTCTACTCAAAATCCAATGATTGGGCTGAGGCGGAGAGGCTATTAATGGACATGGGTAATAAAAGGGACTTGGTTTCTAGGAGTCTATCATCTCATGCTATGTCAATAGTTACATGGAGTTTGAAGCGGTTGATACTTTCGTTCATATACTTCCAAATGGTTCTCCCTAATGTTTATTGTTTCCCGGTTATTCGGGCTTGTTCAGTTCTAAAGAATGCATCGATTGGTGGTACAGTTTCTAGGTTTATAATAAAAAGCGGCGTATCTCGATTCTGATGTTTGTGTTGGGTGTGCATTGATTGACATGATTGCAAAAGGGAAGTGCTGATTTCGTTTCAGCTTTAAAGGTGTTTGACAAAATGCCCGAGAGGAATCTAGTTGCTCGGACTTTGATGATGACAAGATGTATTCAATTGGAGTGTCCAAAGAAAGCTATTGATTTGTTTTTGGATATGCTGGTGAGTGGGCCCGTGCCAGATAGATTTACCCTCACAGTTGTTTTGTGGGCATGTTCGGAGTTGGAGTAACAGTCAATTGGGGTGCAATTGCGTTCATGGGTTACACAGTCTAGATTGGCTTCGGATGTCTGTGTTGGATGCAGCTTGGTGGACATGTACTTGAAGTGTGCAGCTAGTGGATCGCTTCATGATTCGAGAAAGGTGTTTGATGGGATGCAAGATCAGAAGACCATGCTGGTTTTTTTTTTTTAATCACACGGAGACTAAAAACCAAAGTATAGGATGCTGACTAAGACATAATATATTGTTGAGGGTTGATTAAGAAAACCATAAAATCATAGATGGCTGAGTGGAATTAGCCCAATATTGTTGATTGCAATAGGTGATCTATTTGAATGTGGAATGCATTTTAACTATTAGTAATGGTTTTGTATATTAAGACCGGTATATAATAATGGGTATATTGACTCGTCAATATGCTTATCAACAGAGAAAAACGATGAGTAATGGACAAGGTTGGACAAGATTTTTGAATTGTCAATACACTAGATAAATGACTTGCAAACTTCAAAGAAGATCGATGGGGTCGATTATGACATGAAGAACAAACAGAAATGCCAAATCTAGGATTGAGACTAGTTTTGGTGACCACGACATGTTTGAGTTTCATTATAATTACTCGGAACTTGATGAACAAAGTTTTATAATCATTATAATTACTGTCTTTTTTCCCTTTTGTCTTCACAATTTGAGGAAGTGACACTTATGAAATATTGGCATTGAAATAAATACATCTCCAGATGCCTCACTTAAAAGTATTTTTATTCAATTTAGGATACAAAATATTCATGTAAACTCACTTTCACAATACTAAAATCGATTTTTTAGAGAGAATCAATTTGCCAAAAAAACGTAAAATCTAGAAACTTCAGAGAAGTTTCCTTCCTAATTAATGTGAAAGCTATCCATAAACTAAGCAGAGGTCGTGTTATGTTAGCTTTATTGCAAGTACAACAATTTCTACATAATTTCCACTAATGTAATGAAACTTTAGCCGGCCACGTATTTTAATTTTTCTTCGCTTGACTTTGTTCTATTGGTTGACTTGGACATTTTGATGACCAACGACTCCAACTCTCTTCAATCATAGTATGCATCCCTCTATTGAGCCTCCCTCACATTGCTAATTAGCTAAAACTTTCATTGCATCATATCAAACAGCGCAAAGATGATTAATTCTCTCGACTCCATACTTTGTACCATGTTTTGCTTCTCATAATGCATGTATTGCTAATTGGGACGAGTTGCAGTGCAGAGAAAAATCACTTTTGCACCACTTCATCTTGTGATGAATTACGTAACATAAACTATCCCTTTTCGCTTGAAGGGTGACCCAAAAGGTTGCAGCGACTCGAGATTTGAGTTAGCGTGTGAAGATAACCGCACTGTATTATCTTTTCACGCTGGCCGATATCATGTGAAATCGTTGGTCATCCACTATTATGAGAGCCGTTCCATTTTTGGGCATATGGAAGTGGTCATTGTCGAGCTGCAAATGAGCAACTGTTCCTCCCTTCCTCTCCACCAGGTAAGGCCCTCTAACTTCAGTAAAGATGAACAGTACTAAATCAGTAATAGACCCATGGTGACCGTAACGTCTTGCTCAAAGCAAGTGATATCTCCTTTATACATTGCCACCGAACCATGGATAGCTATAAACGGGTATTATTCATATGCCATCATCGATGCAATTGCATCGGATACTGGGAATTTTTGCACCATTAGCACGTGCAGCAAATTCTTTATGGTCTAAAAGATCAGAATTGTCCCCGGCGAATCGTACGATCTCCTACAATGACATTTACAACGCGATAGCCGACGGGTTTGATCTCCACAGCTGGATGCCGCAGAAGAAAACATTTCACTTTTGCTTCTTAGGCTTCCAATACCGAGGGAAACGATGCATATCCTACTACTACTGTAAGTATGCCCTTCAATTACCCGATCAATATACTAATATGGGGCTCTAGCTATAGCTTCTGTGCCTTAAGCGACGGACTGTGAATGACTGGTACAAAAATCAAAGTAACTGATGCAAGGGAAGTCTGTAAAACGAATTAGCCCCTCGAGGGAATTAAGATGACATGCAAAATATTGGTTTCATGTGAAATACGATCATAACAGAGAATAACAGAGAGGAATTTCGTCGTTCTCCGAGGGAAATGATGGTAGCGATCACATTGCATTGCATTTTATTCCTGTTCACACTATGATAGTTGAAACTTGAAATATAGCACCCACTGAAATCAAGTTTTTGCTAATTTAACATTGAACATCTCAAATTTTTAAAAAATATATGATAATTACATTTAGTTCCTTCTAAAAGTTTTTATATTAGCTCAAAGTACCTGATTTTTTCAACTGCTAACTTTTCTTTTACATCGAGAGTTCACAAATTGGAGAATGAAAGCCCACCAAAAAAGTTAATGGTGTGTTTCCTTGCCAAGGTCAGGGTATGTTAATCCTACCTGAGAAGTTGATCAAATATAATCACAAAAAGTTTTAATTCCCACAACCCAAATATGTGAAACATTTAGATATTTTAAGTGGCGATGGGGCCTGAAAATTCTCTAGATAAAATCCTTCGGCTCACAGAACATATAACATGTGATGCAACACTACTTGATCAATCTTTGGCTCCAAATTAGATATAATTTAGCAAGTCGCAAAAGGAGTCTGAAAATTTCATTTTAAAAACATCATAACATATATGTAGTTATTCACATTAAGACAAGAGATTTGTTGAATATATACGACTATTGATTGTTGTCGTATAAATAAGATAGTATGCAAATGTAACATTAGTTATTTATCGGTTGTTATCCTTAAAACATCTTTGCTTCGAATTTCGTTTACTTATAACTAATTATTTACTTAATCAGGATAATAGTACTTATTTCCTTATAAGTATCTTTCATTGATTACTCAGCTACTTCTGATTATATGTCTTAATGTTTTTTTTGGTTGAAATCTCATGTTTTGTGTAGACAATTCTTCCGGGAGTACGGCGCTAAATGTTGCATTGAATAAAGTTCCTTGTTGCCTTTGTCTTCGGTATGGATAATTCTGTTTTCCTCGCATATACGAAAGTCACGCAAAATGTGAAAAAGACATTCTTTGTATGTGCTTTGTAACAAATTAAAACGGACTCTACTTTTCAGTAATCTAATTTTCTTCGCAGCTCACTTCCTAGCGGCAAAATTCATACTCGGAGCTCCATTTGTGTTGCTACTCCTAGTCTATAAGTGGAACAAAAGACACCAAGCAATGGACGCAAACATCGAAGAATTTTTGCCTATAAGCCACTCTTACTCGGACATCAAGAAGATCACCAAACACAAGTTAGGTGAAGGGAGATATGGTTTTGTGTACAGAGAAATGCTTAGAAGTGGCAATGAAGTTGCTATTAAGATTTTGAACAAATCAAAATCTAGTGGCTAAGATATTATGAGCGAAATGGCCACAATTGGAAGGGTCCACCACATTAACATGGTGCAACTTCTGCATTTCGATTACTTCATACAAGCTCTTATCTATGATTTTATGCCATATGGATCTTTGGATAAACACATTTTATATAAGGATGGTGAAAATTCTCTTGATTATTAGAAATGTATGAGATCTCTCTTGGCATAGCTAGAGGAATAGAGTATCTTCATCGGGGTTGTGTTATGCAAATTCTACACTTTGACATCAAGCCTCACAACATTCTTCTAGACCGAAGTTTCACTCCAAAAGTTTTTTACTTTAAACTTGCAAGACTTTATCCACCAATCACAGCAAAGTATCATTGACTGTAGTAAGAGAAACCTTGGGATATATGGCACTTGAGCTATTCTATATGGACATTGGTAGTGTTTCTTATAAAGCCAATGTTTTATAGTTTTGGGATGTTGTTGATGAAAATGGCCAGTAGAAGGAGAAATCTAAATGCACATGCAGACCGTTCAAGTCAAATTTACTTCCCTTTGTGGGTTTATAATCAACTCGGCAAAAAAAAGGAGGTTGAAATGGTAGATGTTAGAGAAAAGGAAAGAGAAACAAAGAGGAAGATGATAATCGTTGCACTATGGTGTATACAATTGAGCCCTAATGATAGGTCATTGATGAACAGAGTCCTAGATATGCTTGAAGGAGATATGGATAAGCTACAACTGCCTCCAAAACCGCTTTTGTATCCGATGGAGTTGCCAGTTGATGATGTTAATGATGCGATAGAACTTCAAACGGTCTCATCTTCGTCAAGTACTCCAGTAATTTCTAACTACCAGTTTGAGCAGGACAATGAGTTTACAAAATCATATATTATCTTATTGTTCCCCTCTTGTAAAAACGAGAAGCAAAATAAAAATAGTACAATCAACATATATCACCATTCACTATGTAATCCATTAAGCTGTTACATGATTTTCATGTAGCACTAGTGTTTTCTAGTAAACTCCCCATTTCCATATTTTGTAAATGACATTGTGTCATATGGCAGTCATTCAATTTTCGTTTCATGCGAATCCTCCTGGTATAATAACGTAAATTTTCCTCCGCGTTAATGTTTGCATTGAGCAATGAGTCTCTCTCCTTTCCATCATCTCAACAGCAGCCACCTACTCAAGCAATCTTCGACTTCGATGTCATGTCCGGTGATTGGTCGCAGCCTAACCCATGAATGACTTGCACATGTCATAGAGGAAAGACATAATAGGTCGACCATTTTCCTTTACGATGAATGGAATGAGCATTCCTCCGTTTGTTTGATCAGAATGTTGATCAGAATGTTGAGCATTCCCCCGTATAGGATGTTGAGTAAGACAATTTAAATTTTTAGGGGTTGACTAAGATAATTATGAAATTATAGAGGGCTGAATGGAATTAGCCCAACGGTGTTTGTCCCCCCCCCCACCCCCACCCAACTCTCCGTACAACATATAAACAACGGGATAGTAGAGAGACAAAGAATACACATCAACAAGACACTTTTATAAACATAACATCGATTACAACACATACATTTGCAAGCCTTCTACGAGGCCACTATCTACGAATACCGCCATAACATGGCAATTCGCTCCTCGAGCACATAATACAACCACATGACGTAAACGTGCATAAAACGGTTATTAATCCAGACATGCTCAACAGCAGCACAAGCACATTGCATTCCCCAATGCATAACAAACTGGGCAGTAACATAGTCACCGAATTTCCTTTAAAATAAATAGTAAATCAACTCCAAAAATTCTGAAATTTGGATATGTCGCATAAAACATCTTGATAAACATTTTCTGTGAAGAGCTCGAAACCCAGTTCCTACCGTAAACACCTCTTTTTGTCACTTGAAGTCAGACAAAATTCAACCCGTCCGGTCAGGCCGCCTGACCATCAAAATGCATCTCATCCAGTACCCAAATAATTTTGGAAAGCCTTAAAATTTTTATATGTCATAGACACGAATGTTCTTAACAATTTTTGTGAAGGAAGTTTCTTGAAAAGAGGTCTCGAAAAATTTATATAAAATCGGAAAGACCAGAAGGTCGGGTAAACAGTAAATCCGGCAGACTGAATTCGGTCCAAAAATGGACTTACGAATGGAACTAAATGATCTCCAAAAATTCCAGATTTAATATATGTCAAACTTCAAGATGTTATGAACAACTTTCATGAAGAATACTTCCTCAAATTCGGCCCACACAAGTCACAGTAAAAATAGAAAAATCCAGCGACGCAGCAGCAACCTTACCGGAAATTAACCAACAAGCACCACCAAGCAAACCAAGCACAACCAGCCACTAAACCAACTATCCATGGCCCTTAAACCATCCCTAACATGTCCATTAGTCACCCCTTAGCCTAGTCAAGAGTTAGGAAGCCACTTACACTTAGCCTAAGCAAGAAAACCGAGCGAAAGGAGCAGCTCAGTCACGGCAAAGCAGCAGCAGCCTCAGTGGACAGGCGGCAGCTCACGGCAGAGTCGGGTGGAGATGGGGGCTGAACGGTGGTGCTGGTCGGGCTGGAATGGAGGGCGAGAAGCAGCAGAAACCAGAGGAAGCAGAATGAAGAAGCAAGTAGCAGCGAAGCAGCAGGGAAGTCCATCATGGCAGCTACATGGGGAGGTCAGCAACGTGGGGGAGTCAGCTGAAGTATGGGGGAGTGATGATGGCTGGTGGAGTTGGTGGAAGAAGTCAGCAGCAGCAGCAAAGGCAGAAGCAGAAACAGAAGCAAAGCAGAAGCATGGGTGGAGCAGCGTGAGATGAGGAGTCAACAACGTGGAGGAGGGCAGCGGGGAAAGAGGAGGAAGTCAGCGGCGTGGAATTATACGTTTTATAAATCTCAAAATTGGGCCAAAATTCGGAATGTCACAGTGTTGATCCCGATGGGTGATTTATTTGAATGTAATGGTAGGTATAATAATACCAGCATGCATTATTGGTCTATCGAGTTGTCGATGTGCTTATCAACAGAGAAAAAAGATAAGTTAAAAAAGACAAGGTTGGACAAGACTTTTGAATAGTTGATACATAAGATGAATAACTTGTGAACTTCCAAGAAAATCAATGGGTATCGATTATGATATTGAGAACAAACAGAAATGCCAAATTTAGGATTGAGATTTGTTTTAGTGACGATGACATATCTGTTCAAACTTGATGGACAAAGTTTTATTATCATCAATAGTACTATCTTTTTCCTTTTCGTGTTCGCAATTCAACGAAGTGACCCTTATGAATATTGGCCTTGAAATAAAATACGACACCGGATGCCCCACTTAAAAGGATTTTGGTTTAATTTTGGGAATAAATATTCAAATCGATTATTTTTTGAGACACTAAAATTGATTCAGAGAGAGAATCAATTTGCCATAATACGTCAAATCTTGAAACGGCAGAGAACTTTCCTTCCTATTGTAGTGAAAGCTATCCATAAAAAAAATTGGTCCCCACATATTTTACTTTTTCCTCCCTCGACTTTCTTTTATTGGTTGAGTTGGACATTTCGATGACCGACTCCAATTCTTTTCAATCATATTACGCATCCCTTTACTAAGCCTTCATCGCATCACTAATTAAAACTTTCATTGCATCATATCAAAAAGTATAGAAATGATTAATTCTCTCCGCTGCACATATTATGCACCGTGTTTTCCTCCTGATATGGAATGTTCTACTACTAGAGACAAGCTGTGGTTCAAAGAATAATTACTCCCCGCTTTGTGTTGCGGTGAGGTTCATAACATGAGTTATCTTCTTCGATTGAAAGGCGACCCAAAAGGCGGTTGGAAACTCAATGCTAGCCAGCTTGCAAAAAGAATTGCGTTGGCTTACATCTGTATGCCGATTGATATTATATGAAATCGATCTCTTTGCAATGATGGTTACTTTTATGGCCAAATCATGGCGGTCGATGACGGACCGCATGTCCCATATGAAGAAGAACAGCGACTCCCCTTCCTTAATCCTTATGTTTTAATTAATTGCGGGTTTTTTAAAATTGAGCATGTGATGTCACGTGCATCGGATTTTGCACAAGCAAAATTTGGGTCGGACTAAGACAAGATACCAAAGTATAAGGTGTTGACTGAGCAAAGAAATAACAAGGGATTGACTGAGACATTCATGAAATTATAGAGGGCAAGTTGAAATTAGCCACCAAAAGTAGAGATCATGATGGGGTATTTGAATGGGGAATATAGGTTACTATTAGTAACACTATTTATGTTAAGACTAGTTTACAGTAATAGTGTATTAAGTTATTAAGATGCTTGTTGATAGAGGAAAATGATGACTAAAAGACAAGGTTAGACAAGATTAAGAACGAATAGTTTTTACATGCGATAAATAATTTTTGAACTCCGAAAATAAGTAGGGAGCATGATATCGAGTACAAACGAAATGCTTAGAATGGTGATTAGTTCTTGTTGCGGAAGCCAAACGATCGAACAGTAAAATAGACATAACAAGAAAATAAATCGGACACCAGATTTACGTGGTTCAGTCATAGTGACATACGTTCACGGAGAGAGTAGCACGGAATTCCACTATAGATCAAGCGATAAAACGGAGATTACAACAACACTCGAGTCACTCAAACACTCTAAGTGTTTTTCAAACCCCAATTACGCCCAATAATGCATGTAGTGTTTAGCCCCACAATTCCTCACGAAATAATCTCTCAATGTCACGAAGGAATTATACACAAATCTTACCACAATATTTAATCGCTTGAATACTAATTCTTCTTGGATGTAATTCACGAACAAAAATTCACTGAAACACTCACTGCCAAGCATTCACGAACGCGGTGCTTCAAGACTGTGCACGGTAACAGCGCTTCTTGAGCACTCACAAGGCATGCACACTTGCGGCTACGCTATCAAACCCAAGATATATATCCGAAACAGTCTTGGTGGAATCCCACTGGTTGTTCTTCTCTTTAGTTTTCTTCTTTGCTTTTCTTGGACCGTCCTTGAAGGAGTTGATTTTCTTTCTTGACTCGGTCCCACACAAAGTCCACGTTGGACTTTCAAGTTCTGTGGTCGAACTCCTCAGGATAATATCTATCCATGGATTTCAAAACAAATTTATTTCTTTCCTTTCTCTAACCTTTGTTAGACCGAGTCAAAATCCAACTCAAATTCCACAATTCACTTTCCAAATTCAGCCGCTCAGTTCAACGCGCAGTAGATTTTTTTTGTTCTTTTTTTTTCTTGAAATTTATATTTTCGTTTCAGGCTCAAACTCGAGATATATTTTCAACAGTTCTCATGAAGATGACTGGTTTGACCTTCATATCAAGTTGCCAATTCATTTAATGCAATGAAGTAACGACTTAAACAAATATTGTTACTTGAGACTCAGGTGGACCAAGTTTATTGTCATCAACGTTATTACATGTTCTCATTTTCATCTTCACAACATAGCACTCCTGACCCATCGGCCTTGAAATAAGTTACAACATAGATGCCTCACTTATAAGGATTATTATTCAATTTAAGGCACGATATTTCATTTTTACGATACTAAAGCTGATCTTTAGAGACAGTCAATTGGCCAATAAAGTCAAATATAGAAACTGCGAAGAAGTTTCCTTCCAAATCAATTTATGCTAGCTTGACGCTGCGTGTACGACACAATCTCTGCATAATTTCAGCTGATGGAACCTCTAGTTGGTCCACACAAGTTACTTTTCTTGACTTGACTTTGTGTTACTTGTTGGCTTGAAAATTTCGATCACAGATGACTCCCAACTGATCTTTTCGATCATATATAATCCCTCCCTTTATTGATCCACCACCACAATTACCAAGCTAAAACTTTCATTCTTGTATCGAGCAGTGGAGAGATGATTAATTCTCACGGCTCCCTATTTATGTACCACATTTTTCTACTCATATTACTTGTTCTACTACTAGGAACAAGTTGTGGTGCGAAAAAGAATCACTTGTGCACCGCTTCATCTTGCGGCGAAGTCCGTAACATAAGCTATCCTTTTCGATTGAAAGGCAATCCAAAAAGCTGCGGCCACTCTAAGTATGAACTTGCTTGTGAAAATAACCGCACTGTTCTATATCTACATGCCGGTCGATATTATGTGAAGTCGATCCATTACCGTTACCATGATTACAAAGGTAACTTCAGAGGTGACATAACAGTTGTTGACGATAGTCTACAGAAGGGTAATTGTTCGTCCCTCCCTCGTTACTCTTTGGCGGACTCCAACTTCAGTGGAAATGATGTCTACTCTCCTTATTTCAAAAACCTACTGGTCTTCGTGAAGTGCTCATTGCCTGTTGCTTCTACTTCGTATGTTGATACCAAACAGTGTATTGGGGTTGCATACTCTGCCGGCACGCCTTCTAATTTTTCCCAAACGAAGGTGTACTCATACGCTCTTCATGGTCATGGGCCTGATGCATTAGGAGCACTGGACATCCAGGATTCTTGCACTATAACTATGATGGCATTCGCATCGGTCAACATCTTGTGGTGGGAAAAGGATCGTGTGAGTTTATCATACAAGGAACTCCACAACATGATGACCGAGGGATTCAATCTCACATATATAGAATTCAATTCGCAGATTGGAACAGCTCGATTTTGCTTCTTGGGTTTCACATATCGTCTGCAGAGGTGCAGTTACTATAACTCCAGTAAGCGACTTTCCCTAGAGCTTTTCTTTCTTTCTCTCTTTCTTCTTCTTCCTCCTCCTTTCTTAAATGCTAGATCTATTAAGAGATCTTACCAAAATTTAGTCATCCAATTACATAGCAAGTTTCATTTGGATAATGTAATACATAGGACTCACATATTGCGTCATTAATATCTTTAAATGACCCATGGAAAAAATTGCCACATCACTTAAGTAAAAAAGTTTGATAAAATTTGAGTAGATTGAACATGCATTGCTCTTTAATTGTTCCACAACCCATGGAGCTTTTCTGGATTTGATTACTTTATTTTTTATTGGGTAAAAATGTTTGATTTGATAGTAGCTTGTGTCCCTTACATGGTTGCTATTATGCGGGAGAATAAATTGTACGTGTTGGATGATGTTTGTAAATCAGAATTACACGCGAGTGACTGGTGGACTAAATCATCTGGTACATCTTGGAGAACAGAAGCGAATTCGTCTTTCTTTGATAAGAAAGATCATGTCATGATAACATGATTTCCCCAGGTGAATAGAATAGAGTTGGATCTAGGCGCTATATAGGACAGTGAAATTCAATCACTCTTCTTTATTCTAGACTTCTCTACTTGCAAGTTCTAATGAATAAAAGTCTGTCTTTGCACTGCAATGATGGTATGAATTTATCTTTGACTTGGGCTATAGCTTAACGTGAATTATTTTATATTTTACCGCTAAAATGATAAGTTTGGGTCTCCATTGATTGGTCGTTAATGCTTATTAATCATTTGAATCATCTCGAACAAATTCTCTTGCTTTTTACAGATAGTTCTATGAAGGCGGCACTTGCGCTTTATGCACTTCCTTATCTCCCCTTTTTCTTAGGTATGACTAGTCCTTTTCTCCTCGCAACTATGAATATCTCAAGCAGCACTCTGACCAAAAAAAGAACAACTTTCTATCTGTAATTAGAATCATTACACTACGCTAATCTGCATACAAATTTCTCCACAGCCCAATTCATCGCAGCAAAATTCATACTTGGAGCTCCATGTGTGTTGATATTTTTAATCTATAAGTGGATGAGAAGGCACCGAGCAATGGACGAAAACATTGAAGAATTCCTACAAGCTCATAACAACTTTTTTCCCATAAGGTACTCTTACTCGGACATCAAGAAAATCACAAAAAATTTCAAACACAAAATAGGGGAAGGGGGTTATGGCTCTGTGTACAAAGGAATACTTAGAAGTGGCAATGAAGTTGCTGTTAAGATTTTGAACAAACCAAAATCTAATGGCCAAGATTTTATGAGCGAAGTGGCTACTATTGGAAGGATCCACCATGTTAATGTGGTGCAACTTGTTGGCTTTTGCTTTAAAAACTCTAAGCAAGCTCTCGTGTGCGATTTCATGCCAAACGGATCTTTGGATAAACATATTTTCTCTAAAGATGGGGACGATTCTCTTGATTATAAGAAAATATATGAGATATCTCTTGGTGTGGCTAGGGGGATAGAATATTTACATCGGGGATGTGACATACAAATTTTACACTTTGACATCAAGCCTCACAATATTCTTCTAGATCAAAATTTCACTCCAAAAGTTTCTGACTTCGGGCTTGCAAGACTTTATCCCGTGGACCACAAAATAGTGTCATTGACTGCTGCAAGAGGAACCTTGGGATATATGGCTCCTGAGCTATTCTACAAGGACATTGGTGGTGTCTCGTATAAAGCTGATGTCTATAGTTTTGGAATGTTGCTGATGGAAATGGCAGGTAGGAGGAAAAACGCTAAGGCAAATGTTGAGCGTTCAAGTCAAGTTTATTTCCCTTTGTGGGTTTATGATCAACTCAGCAAAGAAAACGAGGTTGAAATGGAAGAAGTAGAAGGGGAAAGGGAGATAACGAGGAAGATGGTAATAGTTGCCCTTTGGTGTATACAGTTAATCCCTAATGATCGGCCATCAATGAGCAGAGTCCTGAACATGCTTGAAGGAGATATTGATCAACTGCGACTGCCTCCAAAACCGCTTCTGTATCCATCCGAGAAGCCACTTGATGATATGGACACTGAAATAGAACTCGAATCATTCTCAATCACATCAAGTGCTCCAACAATTTCCGAAGGATATCGATTTCAGAATAGCAATGAAATTACGGAATCATGCATTGTATGATTTTCTTTTCTCCATGTTTGAATGTATGTAACATAAACGTAGTTCCATCAGGAGCATAATTGACCATGTAATTTGTGAACGTATATGATTTTCGCGTTTGTTACATCCCGTGTTTTGCAGATGAGCTGCCTCATGGCTGTGTCTACATTTCTTGTTTCCTGAGTGCTCCTTATATGACAGACCAAGCTCGACTGCTATGGACCAACGAGTCTCTTCCACTCTTCTCTCCACCGTCCAATATCTAGCTCTCCCCTTCCCGCCAAAACCTCTCACCCTCGCCCCTCGATCGCCGCCTGATCACCCACCTCATGTCCCATAATGGGTCCCATGCCGACCTCCTCTCCTTCTCTCTCCTCCTCATATCCTGCATTCGCTCCCAAGGGTTAGCGCTCGGGAGGTGCTTCCATTGCGTGCTCGCTCAATCCCAGCTTTAGCCTAACTCGGTGATTCTCAACTCGCTCATCAGTCTCACCTCGAAATCCAATGACCGGGAGGACTTTTAGGGAGATGGGTAGTAAAAGGGATTTGGTTTTTTTGGAGTCCCATGATCTCTTGCTATTCCAATACCCACATCGCGTTTGAAGCAGCCGATACTTCGACCAAAAAAAAAAATTAACACTCGATACTTTCGTTCATATGCTTGAAGATGATTTTTTTCCCTCGGGCTTGTTCGGTTCTGAAGAATGCATCATTGGGTGATAAGAGTTTCAGGGTTATAATTAAAGGGAGCTGTCTTGATTCTGATGTGTTTTGGGTGTGCATTAATTGACACGTTTGCAAGGGTAGGGCTGATTTGGTTTCAGCTCGTGAGTTGTTTGAGAAAATGCCTGAGAGGAATGTGGTTGCGTGGATAATTGCAAGATATACTCAGTTGGGTCGTCCAAAGAAACCTATTGATTTGTTTTTGGATATGCTGGTCCTGTGCCAAATAGATTTACGCTTATAGTTGTTTTGTCGGCATGTTCGGGGTTGGAGCTACTATCCCTTGGGTTGCAATTGCATTCCTGGATTATATGGTCTGGATTAGCTTCAGATGTTTGTGTTGGATGCAACTTGGTGGACATGTACGTGAAGTGTGTAGCTAGTGGATCACTTCATCATTTGAGAAAGGTGTTTGATCGAGTGCAAGATCATAACGTGATGTCTTGGGCACCGATAATCACGGGACATGTGCAAACTGAAGAGAACGAGGAGACCGTCAAACTCTCTTATGGGAAATAATAAAAGATCCAGCGAGACCACACCATTTCACATTGCCTGGTGTTGAAAAGGCATGTGGAAGTATTTGTGATAATAGATGTGGGTATACGAATATACGCTGTAGCTATAAATTTGTGCTTTGCATTTGACACCTGCGTGCGTAATTCTCTCATTAGCATGTATTCCCAGTCGGGCCACATGGAAGATGCTCAGAGAGCTATGGATGCACCATTTGAAAAGAATTCGATTTCTTATAATACCCTTGCGGATGCCTACTCCAAAAGTTTGGAGTCTGATGAAGCCTTTGAACTACTACATGAGATTGAGAAGAGAGGAATTGGACAGGTGCTTTTACATTTGCCAGCCTTTTAAGTGGAGCTGCCCGTATCGACTCCATGGGTAAGGGGGAGCAAATCAGGGCTCGACTCAAAAGCAGTGCATTTTCAATGGTTTGATCTCTATGTATTCCAGGTGTGGAAACAAAGAAGCTGCTTTTGGAGTTTTCTGTGAGACGAGAGAAATATATTAAAACTTGGACTTCAATGGTCACTGGTTTTGCAAAACATCGATTTGCTTGAGGACGTTGTGAGGCCGAATGAGAGTCACCTTTGTTGCTGTTTTATCCATTACTCAGCCCAGGCTCAGGATACAGCATGAGCCCTATCCAGAAGAACCCTCATCTGTAGAACAGATGCAAAATAGCAAGATCAACCGCTTTGTTCTATGGGATAATAACACAAATAATCCCTAAACTTTGGTCAAATGTGCAATTTGATCCCTGAACTTTTAATTTGTTCAATGTAGTCCCTAATCTTTAGCCTAATGTTCTACTTGGTCCCTAAACTTTTAATCTGTTCAATGTGGTCCCTGGACTTTTGGCACATGTTCAATTTAGTCCATAAACTATATGAAAATATTCAATGTAATCCCTGAATTTGAATTAATGGAAAGACTACAATGAACATTTTCATATAGTTCAGGGACTAAATTGAACATGTACTAAAAGTTTAGAGACCACATTGAATAAATTAAAAATTCGAGGACCAAATTGCATATTGAACAAAGTTCAGAGACTGTTTGTGTCATTTTCCCTTGTTCTATGAAAAGCCTATGTTTTTCTAAACAAACAATGTCATGTAAAAAAATTTTAAATAGAACAAGATCTTGATCAACTTTAGTGAGTCCCAGAGTGTCAAGTGACATAATTTACATTGTCCAGAGTCAAAGAGTAGCACGTGTAATATGCCATCCCACAGTATGTCTTCTTGTCTGGTTAGTCCATGTACCTCAATGTGGGACTCAAGGACCCAGCATATAAATACATAGAACTTGGAAATGTGAAGATACAAATAATCACCGTGCCTTTCTGCTCTTGAGAGCTGTATAGAGCAGGCCGATAGCAAAGATAATGGCAAGCAATCCATCTGTATAGAGCCATTGGGATTGACACTTCTCTAGAGCCGGGTTTTCAGCTTAGGGATATTATATTTGCTGATTAAACCCTGTTGAAGAGGCACTTGTGAGGATTAATTAACCACCAATTCATTTAGTTCTGTTCCCACGCTAGCCTTTTTTGAGTCGCGTGTAAGTTTTATAGTACCTTGAAGGCCTCTTGATTGAAGAGAACAGCAATCAACATGCCAAAGAATTGACCTGCGATCCTAGTGAATCTCGTAATGATTATTGAATATGGTAAGAAGAAATAGCAGCAATGCCGTCCAGACTCAAACCCTACAAAGAATGCAGTACCGTAAATTGGCCATATTTATGTTCTGATTCACGACACCAATGTAAGCTCTACATGACCGTAAGAAAACTTTCATTCCTTACCAGCCAGCCCATGCCAAATAAAACTCTCTCCCCAAGTCCGACCTTCCCTTGGCAAAATTGTACAGATTACAGTACATTATAAGAGTTGGTTCGACGACCCCTAAGATCAAAAGAGGCTGGCCACGGAAAATCAAGTAGATAATCTTGCATAGAGCAGTTGAAGCTAACATCTCAACTATGATTAAACTGCCATCAAACATTCAAATGTAACATAAGTTCATGGTCAGCGAGACAAGATCAAGGAAACAAATGGTCAAAAAGTGTAATTGACAAAAGAATTCCATTAGTGAATTGTAGTTTCAATAATGAGCGCCAGAGTCGACGACTCACTGGTGTCTCAACTTGGTTGGGGCTATAACAGGAAGAGAAGAAGCAAAGAAGATACATGCTGTTGGGGTTGAACCTGAACATAAAGGATCAAAACCACCATGATCTAGAAATGCTCTACTTCCAAGGATACGATCTAATTACTTGGACGGCATTGCAGAAGAAAGTAAAGGCGGTTTGAATCCAAGTGGTTCAAGCTTCAAGCCACTGAAGTCAACGGCTGAAAAGGTCCCCCGAAGTTTACATCCTGGTGTCCACCCGCGATAAGGTTCGGAACTTGCGAATTCGGCATACGTGCAGCCTCTAATGCAGCATTTGTTGTCATTGTTTGTGCTTCCGATGAAGGACGAGCAAGATTACCGCGGGGCACGAGATGTGGAGGTAGATTGTGAGATTTAGCCTGCTCGTCATCATTTCTCAACCACAAGCGTGAGCACGAGTCAGCTTCACAACTTGAAATAATGGTGTTCGACTAGAATGCACACCAAGACTATCATGTTGTTTCCAGCAATGTGTTTTATTAGTGGTAACAACTATGATCATCCCAACATACAATTCCTATCGGAAGAATATTCATGTCCTCTGAAGCGAGAGATCACAAGGCAAACAAAGTTATGCCACACCCCATGCCATAAGCCGACAAAGCAACTTGCACTCTTGGACGATGCATGTATTTAAATTAGTGCAGACAAAAGAATTCGCAAAGTTAAATAATGTGCACAAGCGGGATATTTGATTAAAGATCCTCCATAGCAGGTAAGTAGATTTCAGATTGAGATGAACGGTTAAGCTAATCACCAGAGTAGGTACTATGTTCGACTTGATGGAGTTAAAGGTAAAAGAAATTGTAGAAGATTACCATAAAAAATTGACTCACAGAAGCGAGATCAGGAAACATTGAAAGAATCAAGTTTCTTCCCCATTGGCATAGTTCGTCACGCTCGCTGGAGAATCATCCTGATGAGAAAGATCATTCGTTGGGCCAGGAGGCTGCATAGCCATCGCTTCCAGTTGCAACCATGTGTTGTTCCGCGGCACCGTGAAAGGTGGGCGAGAACAACTGAAACCTCACACAACGAAGAGTTCAAACTATGACAACCGGACTTGTCTAATGGACCGCAAACTGAAACCTCACACAATTTTTCTTAGTCATTCTTGAGAGTGTCAACTAGCTTTCGTTTCTCTTGTTCAGGAAGTTGACCCAAGTATACACAAACCCAGATGCTATGAAGGATAGAAGCTATGCATTTGAACTGTGAAGTCCCATCTTAATGGAGTGAAATCTTATTAGAGCCTTCCAGGCATTGGACGAAGATTCATAGCTTGATGCTGTTGCTCGAGCAACCGGTCGAGCCTGAGGATCTGTCACTTCAACGCTAGCCTTGAGTAGTAATTTCAGAAAACGTCCTGATTCAGTTCTTCCACTGTCCTAAACTGGAATTGGAAGGACAAGTTCAGAATCTTTGCACACAGATACAACGGATACAAGAAACAGCGGGTAAACAGGATCGAATCTAGTTACTCCCGTGAATGATAGTAGCATCCCAAAATCGAAGTACGAACCAGGTTAGGACTTTTAGCGCCCATGTTAAATTTGCTTGCCAGATCACCTAAATCAATCATTCAGAATACTCAACTGGGCAATAAATCGACCCAATATGTTCCATGGTTGATTGGTCACCTTTGTCGGTGAAAACAACGAAGTCAGGAGTTCTGAATTCTCTTGGGTAAAATATAGTGTCAACC